CATGTACCTCACATTCTCTTTTTGTGTATCATTCTCCATCGCTCGATTCTTTTGGCATTAAGATTTGTATCATTGCATAAATGTAACCTTTCCAAGGATACGAAGTGTGTGGACTTAATTAATGGAACATTATGTTCTTGAAATAACACTTGAGATCACTGAGCCCATCTCAGAGGGTGAACCCTACTCTCCAAGCAGAGGTTTAGGCTCGGGATTATATTTTTACGTGTTTTAGACGTTTTTAAATCGTGCTTTCTTTATTGTACTGATATCTTTTGTTTTTCCCGCCATCCAAACCTTATTCACTTCACCAACAGTCAACACAGAGGGTGACCCCTACTCTCCAAGCAGAGGTTTCCGATTTGGCTTATTTTTAACGTGTTTTAGGCTTTTTGTCTTGTATTGTTGTATTGTTATCTTTTTTTCATCAGCCAAACCTTCTTCCCGGAATACAATGTTCTTCCTGGAATATTATGTTCTTCCCGGAATATAATGTTTTTCCTGGAATATAATGTTCTTCCCGGAATATAATGTTCTCCCCGGAATATAATGTTCTTACCGGAATATATTGTTCTTCCCGGAATATAATGTTCTTCCCGGAAAATAATGTTCCGGAAAGATCACTTAAGCTCACCGCGACGACCGCAGAGGGTGAAACCGCATGGAACGCCTCACCGGGCCGGGAGAAAAGGTACAAAGCCGCCGCCGCCTGGCTGGACGGATCCGCTGAACTACGGTACTGTCGACACCCCGTCGGTACGCAGGAAGAGAAGTGCCGTCTCAATGTACACAACAGAACTGAACAAGAATGTAGCGACGGTGAGAAGGGTAATTTTGGGAGGCTGTCGTACAATAAAGATGAAATCTACACTTACGGTGACAGCTGCTTTGATTGGATAACAGGTAATGGAATATTTGACATACTTAGACACAATGTTGAAAAAAAACCTTGCAAAATAGACTTTTTAGCTTAGATCTATTGATAGGACGGTTTTTGTCGTTTCCATTTAAAAATGATACGTCTTTTGGTTTAGTTCTATTAGCCTAAAAAATTGTTTTTCGCATCCTGATTTTGTTACGAATTAATGCTTTTAAACGGGATGCAATGGAGGAACAAGAGATTGTGTTGGTTTCTATTGTAGAGTTGTACCATTGTGGCCAAAATTGATGACCCTTTATATTACAGAATAGATTTATTATTGAATCGGGTCGGGGGAGTGGGCATGGGGTCACATCAGCAGCACACAATCGGCGCCTCCGACCTGCATATTTACCACCAGATTTGATGTTTGGAAATAACGAATTCTTCCTAACGGGTGGAGTTAATCTGTAAACAAGAAGGACGCAGTCTGTCTCCCCATATCCCCTCGCTTTGCCATGATCCCGGCTATTGCTTTAATTGAATTTAACTCTCTGCTTGAGCCTACCTGTGGATGGACTGAAAAGGTCCTTTGAGACGTAAAATTGTTCCATAATCGCCCGCTAAACACCGCGGGGGATACCCACGCACACGGTTCGATTCCGGCCCTACTAACAACTCGCCCCGTCGCATATTCTACACTTCCTCTTCCCGATTTGTCGGTTTATTTGTAAGAGTATTACTCCGGAGTAATCGGTCCTGCACGCATTCTAAGTGTTCAC